AATTTTGATGTCGTTCTTTAGTTGAATGAAAGTGATGTATACACCAGGCTCAAACTGCTCAACCAATTCGGCTTCTCCATCAGTGCTTTGCCTAGAGCTTAGAGGTGATTTTAAGCCATTGTCAATGTTATGTTGCGAAGTAGATTCTCTATTATGAGGAACCACTAACGTACTACTGTTTTGAGCACCACTTTCAATAGCACTTTGTGATAATTCCAACTCATACCCAGTGTCAATTCCCTCATTTGTCAGGTGAGATTGAAAATTAGATGAAGAATCCATTGTCGAAGATGAAAAGTCTGATCTGACATGTTTACTATGCTTAAGGAATGTTTCTGCTTGACCATGCATGATGCCCAAGCTTTCACGAAACTCGAGAGGTAGTTTCTCTGCCATGTCCGTCAGCTTCAAATGAAAATAGTAGCCAATAAAAATGACAACAAGAATCAGTAGAAAAACCGTAACAATGATAAATACAACAAAGTATTGTGATTATTTTGTATAAGCTACAATAAGCATGTGGTTTCTTCAAAAATAATAAATTTGGTGGAAACTGGATAAGTTACAGCATTCTGTGATCTAATAAGCAACTATTTATTTAACAGTGAGATAGGAATTTGCCAAAACTGTTCTATTGAAAGTAAAATAAAAAATATTAGTAAAAATCAAAATCAAAATCAAAATAATATTAGTAAAACTCAAAATCAAAATAATATTAGTAAAAATCAAAATAAAAAAATATTAGTAAAAATTAAAATGAAAAAAATTAGTAAAAATCAAAATGAAAAAGTTAGTAAAAATCAAAATAAAAAATATTTGTAAAAATCAAAATAAAATAGTAAAAATCAAAATCAAAATAATCTTAGTAAAAATCAAAATCAAAATAATATCAGTAAAAATCAAAATAAAAAAATATTTGTAAAAATCAAAATAAAAAATTATTAGTAAAAATCAAAATCAAAATAATATTAGTAAAAATCAAAATCAAAATAATATTAGTAAAAAAATTAAAAAATATTAGTAAAAATCAAAATCAAAATAATATTAGTAAAAATCAAAACATCAATGATTCTATTAAAATAAAATTTTAAAATTTGAACCAAGAAAAAGAGGGTCAATAAAATCTTGTACTAGATCTTAAAAAAAAAAAAAACCAATAGTATTTCTAAAAAGGATTACATAAGATCAAACATTAAAAAAGGTAAAAAAATAATCCAATAAAAAGGAAAGAGAACTAGATTTTTTCCTGAAAAAATATTTTATTTTTCAATTAAGATGGGATGATGCCTAGAATAAAAAAATGATTAATAATGTTTTACTAATATTTAGTAAAAATTATTAGTAAAAATC